AAGGCGTGTAAGAAAGAACTCGCTAGACAAGGCTCAGAAAGCGAGCGGAATATTATTTTTGTTTATTTGCTATAAATGCTTGTGTACAGTTGACATATCTGACTGCTTATATGAAAGAACAAAATTGTATTATAAATAGTATATAAATATATTTATACGTTTTAATACAAAAATTGCTGTGCTGTGAAGAAAATATAAAACTGTGTATGGAAAGCATCGACAATGTACCATGACGCACCGACATATCGATGACATAATCGTAACAGAACCGTGAGAACAGTGTAGGTTTAAAGCTCTAATATATACGTTTAATTTTCAGGAAATCACACGTTTGTAGAATATGCAATATGTATTTGTATTTATTCCTTGATGTAGAAAAAGCTGATATAGTGCACATTGCTATTAGGTCAAGAACAACAACATAGTCATGTTAATTTTTACCCTGGAAATATCTGGAAGTTTCAAACACAACCCCTAAATAAATCCTCAAACACATCCTTTTAACATCAGTGTATTTCACCCAAGTTTCTCTGAAACACACAGCAAACACGAGTGATGCAGCTACTCACATAAACTTTAAAATTACACACGTGTCAGATTTATAAGGTTATAAAACCAGCATCAGACCGAATAAAGTTTCCTTAAACGGAGTGCATCACCTTGGAAAAATTATAATACAGTAAACAACACACATCTAACAGCTGCACAATACCAAAGATATAACACAAACATAACACTAAAACGGTTTATAAAAGTCCAAGTACGCAACTTTACCTGAGATTTGCTGCTAGCCAACAAAAACAAGCTAACTGATGTAATAAATCCATCACAAATCCTAACACAAACATTTTGTTTACATTAATGCATAAGTACATTAACATTACATATATTTTTAAAATGCTAAAACAGTTTATAATAGTTCGCTGAAGTAAGCAAATTCGCCTGAGATCTGCTGCTAGCCAACCAAAACAAGCTAACTGACACAACAAACACAAACATCAACAATCATAACACAACAATTTGTATATTTAGATTAACGTAACATTATGCGATATACTTTTAAACGCTAAAATAGACTCTAAGAGTTTCCGAAGTACGCACGCAATTTCCCCTGAGTTCTGCAGCCAGCCAACCAAAACAAGCAACTGACAACTGACGACATCTAGTAGCAACCATAATACAACAATCTGTTTATTTACTTTACGTTTCAGTACAAGTTTTTAAATCGTCAAAAGACTTTAAAAAAAAGTCCCCAGTATGTAACGTTACGCAAAGATCTGCGGCGAGCAAACCAAAAAAAGCTAACTGACTAACGTTAACAAATCCATCACGAATCACAACAAAACAATTTGTACATTTAATTAAGCATAACTGTACATTATATACTTTTAAAATGGCAAAACAGTTCATAAAAGTCCCCCTACAAAAGTATGCAAAGTTCACCTGAGATCTGCTGTTAGCCAATCAAAACAAGCTAATTAAAGTAACAAACCACTACACAACAATATTTATTTAGATATTAATAAACAACATATTTCTGAAATGCTAAAACAGCTCATAAAAGCCACTAAAAGTACTGCAAATTCACCTGAAAACTGCTGCTAGTCAATGAAACAAGCTAACTGACGTAACAAACACCTCACTAATCATAACACAACAAAGTCATATTTAGTTAAAGGTATTAGTAAACTACACATTTTAAAGCACTAAAACAGTTCATAAAAGTTCCCAATAAAGTAACGTTACGCAAATTCACCTGAGATTTGCAGCTAGCCAACAGCTAGTTTAAGTAATAAATCAATCACAAATCCTAAAATAAACATCTTGATTACTTTAACGCATTTGAACATTTTATTCATGTAAAAAGCTAAAACAGTTCATAAAAGTCCCCCAATGCAACTAACGTCACGCAAATTCACCTGAGATCTGTTCAAAACAAGATTACTGATGTAACAAACACATCAGCAATCATAACACAACAATTTGTATATTTAGTTGAATGTAACATTAAATGATACTTTCAAAACAATGAAACAGTTTATAAGAGTCCCCCAAAGAATGCAAATTCATCTGTGATTTTCATTACAAATCCTAAAATAAACATCTTGTTTATTTTGATTAACGTATTTGTACATTAATATAAAAAATATATCTAATTTTTCTTTAAACGCTAGAGCGGTTCATAAGTCCCCGATTAAGCAACGTTAACTTTACTCAAATTCACCAGATATCTTCTGCTGGCCAGCCAAAACAAGATAACTGATGTAACAAACTTAAACATCAGCAATCAAAACACAACAATTAGTATATTTAAGTAAATGTAACATTAAATTATATACTTTTAATATGCTTAAACAGTTCATAAAAGTCCTGGAGGAAATAACGTTACGCAAATTCATCTGAGAGCTGCAGCTAGCCAACAACAAAAAAAAAAAAAATCAAGCTAACTGACCTAACAAGTCCATCACAAATGTTAAAGCAAACATTTTGTTCACTTTGTTTAACGTATTTGTACACTAACACAATATATATTTTTAAACCGCTAAGAGTTCATAAAAGTCGCTAAATAACATTGCGCAAATTCACCTGCGATCTGCTGCTAGCAAACCAAAACAAGATAACTGACGTAACAAACACATCAGCAATCATAACACAACAATTTGTATATTTAATTGAATTAAACATTAAATTACATACTTTTAAAACGCTGAAACAGTTCATATAATTCCCCCTGAGTACGCATATATATATATATATTTATATATATATGTATCTATATATATTCTTAAATGATAAAACGGTTCATAAAAGTCCCTGAGAAAGTAACTTTAACTTAACTCAAATTCACCAGATCTTCAACCAGCCAACCAAAACGAGACAACTGACGTAACAAACTCAAACATCAGCAATCATAACACAACAATTAGTATATTTAACTAAATGTAACATTAAATTATATACTTTTAAAACACTAAAACAGTTCATAAGTCCATGAGGAACTTACATTACGCCAATTCATCTGAGATCTGCTGCTACCCAACCAAAACAAGCTAATTGACATAACAAATCCATCACAAATCCTAATTTAAATACCTTGGTTTACTTTGTTTAACGCATTTGTATACATTTTTTTTTTAACGCTGATCAGTTCATAAAAGTCCCTGAGGAAGTAACGTTAACTTTACTCAAATTTACCTGAGATCTGCTGCTAGCCAACCAAAACAAGATAACTGACGTACCAAACACATAATAAATTAACACAACAACTTGTATATTAAGTTAAAGGTAACATTAACGTTATATACTTTCAAAACGCTGCAACAGTTCATAAGAGTCCCCCGAGTACACAATTTCACCTGTGATTTTCATCACAAATCCCAACATAAACATCTTGTGTATTTTGATTAACCTATTTGTACATTGACAATTTTTTTCTTAATTTTTTAAAATGCTAGAATAAAAGTCCCCAGAGGAAGTAACGTTAACTTTACTCAAATTCACCTGATATCTTCTGCCAGCCAACCAAAACAAGATGACTGACGTAACAAGCACAATGATCGGCAATCATAACAATCTGTAAATTTATTTAAATGTAACATTAAATTATATACTTTTAAAATGCTAAAACAGTTCATAATAGTCCCTCAGGAACTTACATTACGTAAATTCACCCGAGATTCGCGGCTAGTAAACCAAAACAAGATAACTGATGTACCAAACACATAATAGATTAACACAACAACTTGTAAATTTAGTTCAATGTAAAATTAAATTTTATACTTTAAAAACGCTAAAACAGTTCATAAGAGTCCCCCCCCAGTGCACAATTTCACCTGTGAGTTTTATCACAAATCCTAACACAACAACTTGTATATTAAGTTACAGATAACTTAATATACAATATACATCTTGTTTATTTTGATTATTTTGTACAGTAAAATATTTTTTTCTGAATTTTTTTAAACGCTAGAAAAGTTCATAAAAGTCCCCGAGGAAGTAACGTTAACTTTACTCAAATTCACCTGATATTTTCTGCCAGCCAACCAAAACAAGATAACTGACGTAACAAACACAAAGATCAGCAATCAAAACAATTTGTAAATGTATTTAAATGTAACATTAAATTATATACTTTTAAAATGCTAAAACAGTTCATAAGAGTCTCTGAGGAACTAACGTAACGCAAATTCACCTGAGATCTGCTGCTAGCCAACCAAAACAAACTAATTAACGTAACAAATCCATCACAAATCCTAAAATAAACATCCTGTTTACTTTGTTTAACGCATTTGTACATTAACAATATTTTTAAACGCTGAACAGCTCATAAAAGTCCTTGAGGAAGTAACGTTAACTTTACTCAAATTCACCTAAGATCTGCTGCTAGCCAACCAAAACAAGATAACCGACGTGACAAACACACAATAAAATTTAACACCACAACTTGTATATTTCGTTAAATGTAATTAACTAAATGATATACTTTTAAAATGCTGAAACAGTTCATAAGAGTCCCTTAAGGAAGTAGGCAAATTCACCTGAGATCTGCAGCTAGCCAACCAAAACAAGCTAACTGTTAACTGATATAAGTTAACAAATCTATCATGAATCGCAACACAACTATTTGTTTATTTAATTGTACGAAGGAGTACATTATATACTTTTAAAACTCTAAAACAGTTCATAAAAGTCCCCCTAAGGAAGTACGCAAATTCACCTGAGATCTGCTGCTAGCCAACCAAAACAAGCTAACTAGCGTTGCAAACTCCTCGCTAACCACAACACAACCTTTTAGTATATTAAGTTAAACGCTTTAGCACACTATAGACACTTTTAAAACGCTAAACCAGCTGCCAAAAGTTCCTCTGACAACTGTTTCTGAGAGGCGGCCTGCTCCGTCGACGCTAACAGCTAACGGCTGCTAGCTCGCCATATTTGGACTCAAACGTGCTCGAGTCCACCCGACAGAAGGCTCGTCCGACTTTTTTGGGAGTTTATACCTGGTTGTCGAGCTGACTCTGTGTCTGGCCTTGCGTCTGGGTCTGGCTGGGCAGCGTAAAATCGGTAAACTCGAACTCGGAGCCCTGCGTGTCGGCCCCGAGCAGCTCCGCTTCCTCGGTGTCCAGGAAGGTGAGCGTCTGCGAGCTCGGCCCGTACGCCTCCACACTCATCTTTATATTCTCTCTTCTCCACTGGACGCCCTTTATTTCGCAAAAAACAAAAACAGCGAATAGTCCCGCGAGGAAAGGAGCCGAGCGATGCGCGTTTGTTTTGTTTGTTTTGGTTGTACGTGAAGAGAAGGAAACGGCGCGCGGCGGGCTCGTGCAGATTCAGAAATGAAAGCAAACGATTCCGGAGAAGATTCGACTCCCACTCGGGAGAGCGCGACGCGCGCTGACGTCACGGGCCATGCGACGGACGCGCAAAAGAGCGTGATTACGTCCACACGCGACTTCTATTTGTAATTTATTTACATTTTTCTTTTCTCGTTTAACCCTTTTTAAGGACCGTGAAGTGATTTTGTTGTAAAGTGAAAAATGTACATTGCTGGTCCACACACGACTGTGATGTTTAAACATTTGTTTTTGTTATTATTTTATGTTTTACTTTGTTTTGTTTTACTTATTGGGTCTCTCTACTTATATATAACACTGTTATGCACTTCATATATTTCTATGTAGACCCCTAGCATTGTTACGCATGTGTCACTCATGCGTTGATTAAAAAAAAGCCCTATAACTTCAGTACTTTATTTTTGTTTACTTGCACTTTTACTATATATACAGCCGATATACAGCAATATCGCACTGCTACGAGTGTGATATTGCGTTTATACAACAGTTTGATGGGATAATTGTGTATATAAAAACAATATCAAACATGGAGAGTCTTAAAAACCCTTTTGTATGAGGAACTACTTTCTTCCGCGTTGGATTCAAATCATAAGCTGACAGTTAATCAGTTGAGCGTGCATCTTTTAAACTTTAGATCTGTAGTGTCTGCTTTTTGCTGGCTGTATGTGGGCGGAGTAATACACAAAGCGTAAAGAGGCTGTACGGGTGCTGATATTACTTAAATATATCACAGCGATCAGCCAATCAGATTTGAGAACCAGACAGAACTGTTGTATGTATATATATATATATATATGTATATTTATATATATATATATATATATATATATATATATATATATATATATATATATATATATACACACTCACACACACAGTTAAAGTCAGAATTGTTAGCCTGCCTGAATTATTAGACCGCTCTGAAAACCTCTCTGAATAGACGGCAAGGAAATATATCCAAAAAACAAAACATTTCATATGAGAAATTATTTTAAGTAGCTGAGAAGAAGATACTGGCTTAAAATTTGTGAAACTGCTGGATGGAGGGACTGAATTAGAATAATCTATGACAGCAGAACTGAGGTGGGATTGAATATTTTGTATTTTCTGAGCAAAAAATTCAGAGAAATGTATGCACGTCTCCAGATTGACAACAGGAACTAAGCAAACAATTGGGTTAAGAACTTAATTTTTGGTTTTAAAAAGGACTTTTGGCCTTTTTGCTTTTTTTGGCAATTAAGTTTGAAAATTATTTAGATTTAGCCTTACTGACCGAGTCTTGATATGCATTTAAGCAGTCTTTTAAAATCTAGTAGGAAACCTGGAGCCCATCCTTTTTCCACCTGCGCTCAGCCCTTCTGCACGCTTGCCTGAAAAATCCCCCCAAAATAATATTTGACTAGATATTCTTCAAGACACTTCTATACAGCTTAAAGTGACATTTAAAGGCTTCACTAGGTTAATTAGGTGAACTAGGCAGGTTAGGGTAGGCAAGTTATTGAATAATGATGGTTTATTCTGTGGACTATCGAAAAAATAGATAGCTTAAATGGACTATAATTTTGTCCGTAAAATGGTGTTTAAAAAAATTAAAATTTTATTATTTATTTTTAAAAAATTATTCTAGCCGCAATAAAACAAATAAGACCTTTTCCAGAAGAAAAAATATTATTAGACATACTGTGAAAATTTCCTTGCTCTGTTCAACATAATTTTGAAAATATTTTAAAAAGAAGAAAAAAATTTAATGATCTAGTCAAATATTATTTACTGTCATCATGGCAAAGATAAAATAAATCAGTTATTAGAAATGAGTTATTAAAACTATTATGTTTAGAAATGTGTTGAAGAAATCTTCTCTCCACCCCTCACCGACAAAGGTCCAGAATTTGTCCCATACACGAGCTCATTTGTCCTATTTTGACTGCTACGCTATAATAAATTGTAAAAATAACAGCCGTAGAAGGCTTTAAGACCAAGTGGAATCCTCTGTTGGCTGTTGCTTCAGCGTGACTGAGGAAAGTTTAATGTGCTGGCCAGATTGTGTTTGCCTAATAAATGACAGTAGGCTAGTTTTTTATTTTAAACTTGAACAGCATCCTTTTTTTCTAATGATATAAGATGTAAAGAATTTGTATTTGGAAAAAAAGTATTATTCTGTTTTTTTTACCTTTAGGAAATGTTTTTGGTATATCAAAAAGTGTGGTTGATGACCATCCGACAAGCTAATCCAGCAAGAGATAGTACTTAAAAAGTATTTAAACCTCATAATTAAATAGACAATGAGGCTAATAACTGCAAAAAGGTCCATATTTTAAGAAAAAGAAACCCACCCCATTCACCAGGCTGGCTACGGCCCTGCATATATTTATATATATATATATATATATATATATATATATATATATATATATATATATATATATATATATATATATTGAAACCAGAAGTTTACATACACTCTAAAAAAAGGAACATAACCATTTTTAAAATGTCTGATGGTAAATCATACTAAATGTTTACTATTTTAGGTCTGTTAGGATTACCTAAATCATTTACATTTGCTAAATGCCAGAATTATGAGAGTAAATGAATGTTTTATTAATGTCTAGACAGTCAAAAGTTTACACACATTTTCTTGGTATTTTTTTTATCTTTGCTTTTAAACTGTATAACTTTGGTCAAATGTTTTGGGTCTCCTTCCACAAGCTTCTCACAATAGTGTATTGTGGAATTTTGGTCCATTCCTCCTGACAGAAATGATGTAACTGAGTCAGATTTGTTGGCTGTCTTGCTTTTATGTGAAGCTGCTTTGACACAATCTACATTGTAAAAGCACTATACAGATAAAGGTGAATTGAACTGAATTGCTTACACAAGCTTTTTCAACTCTGCCCACAAATTTTCTATAGGATTGAGATCAGGGCTTTGTGATGGCCACTCCAAAACATTCACTCTGTTATCCTTAAAGCACATGTTAACTAATTTGGCAGTATGCTTAGGGTCATAGTCTGTTTGGAAGAGCCATTTGTGGCCAAGTTTTAATTTCCTGGCTGATGTCTTGAGATGTTGCTTCAGTATTTCTCCATAATGTTCTTTCTTCATGATGCCATCTATGCTGTGAAGTGGACCAGTCCCTCCTGCAGCAAAACAGCCCCACAACATGATGCTGCTGCCCCCATACTTCACAGTTGGGATGGTGTTGCTAGGCTTGTAAGCTTTCCCCTTTGTCCTCCAAATGTAATTATGGCCAAACAGTTCAATCTTAGCTCCATCAGAGCACAGGACATGTCTCCAAACATGAGTCTTTTCCCAGTGTCATTTAGCTAATTGTAATCTGGCTTTGTTGTTGATTCTGGCTTGATGATTTTCCCATGTCGTCACACAAGGAAGCCGTGTGTGTTTGAGAATTTCCTTAAATACTATTCTACAGTTGTGCCTCCAGTTAACTCAAATGTTGTCAATTAGCCAATCAGAAACTTAAAAACCTTGACACCATCATCTGAGCTTTTACAGAGGCAGAATAATCTCATTATGTGTAAACTTACCATCAAAAAAGGTTATAACAATTTTTCAAAAAACTATCTCTCATTATTCTGCTATTAAGCAGAACAGAAACTACTTTGATAAAAGAGAAAAAGTTTAGTCACATTAACATCTGACGTTTTTAAATGCCTTTTTATACAGTGTATGTAAACGTCTGGTTTCAACTGTATATGTATTTCTCATACTTAGTTTTTATACTAAAATACTATAAACTATCAGTTTCCAACATTCTCCAAAATATCTTCTATGTTCAACATAAAAACTGGAAAAAAGTTGGAATAAGTGAAGGATAAAAAATTATGACAAAATGTCCATATTAAAAGTATTATAACATAACTTTAAGAACAAACAAAAAACAAGCAAAATAAGGCAGAAATCATGTATTTGGAGCTGTAGTTTGTACAAACCTGTGAAATATAAAGAGACAAAACAAAGAGAAAACACAAAAGACTCCAGAAAAAAATGACAAATAATAATACATACAGTTATAAATGTCAGAACAATAACATTAATCTGCAGAAACAAGGATATGATGAAAATCAACAGTGTTTTAGGTAAAAGAATGAAGATTCACAGCGTAATCAGTTTGATCCATTGTGTTTATAATCGAGATTCCAGTATAAAACAAGCTAAAACATAAAGATAATTAAAACTATAATATGATATATTATATTATTAAACAATATAATATTATACATGAGCAACATCACACTTGTAGCAGTGTGATATGGCTGCATGTCGGATCTGGTGGGAAGCGTGCATTGGCTCAAGGCTATAGGCCAGGGGTCACCAAACTTGTTCCTGGAGGGCCGGTGTCCTGCAGATTTTTGCTCAAACCCTAATCAAACACACCTGAACAAGCTAATCAAGGTCTTACTAGGTATACTTGAAACATCCAGACAGGTGTGTTGAGGCAAGTTAGAGCTAAACCCTGGGACACCGGCCCTCCAGGATCGAGATTGGTGACCCCTGCTATAGGCTGAGTGATTTAGTGTCCCACCAGTGACGAAATACAGCCATTTCACACTGCTGCGAGTGTTTATAAAACAGTTTGACGGCATAATCGTGTATATAAAAAAGAAAATCAAACATGGAGTCTCAAAACCCTTTTGTATGAGGAACTACTTTCTTCCAGCATTCATTCACATCTGCAGCTGACGTCAGAACAGCAGAAGCTGTTACTAATTCACCAACGTCACTTTAGAGCTAGTGTTTGAATGATTCTCTAGCGTAATGTCTAAAGTGACGACAAAACAGCTGATTTTGCTCAAACTTCAAGATTATAAAGGCTGATTTATACTTCTGCGTCAAGCGTACGTGTATGCTATGTGGCGGTCGGCATCACTGATGCGCACCTCTCAAAAAAATGTAACTACACGTTGCAACAACGCGAAGCGCAAGCTCTGTGATTGGTTGGCTTGGTAGCGTTGACGAGTGTGGGCGGGACTGAATAGTCGTGCAAACCCCAATGTAGCGATT